TTGGGCAAGTTAGTAGGAAAACGAGATTTTGTACGAGCTTCTGCACAGCAAATAGAGCGATAAGCGAGAATATATAGTTTCTGTGACCCACCGGCTGGCTGGAGGTTAACTGAATGGTATCTGGCGGCTTTACAATGGCAGCATTGCGTAGTGACGATGTTAGCAGGTCTATAGATTTCGTTGACATAACCGAAGCGTGCGCATGAGTTTCCGCGCGTATCATTGTAGAATGATTTAATTAATAGCAAAATGTGCATAATCATTAAGGTAACTAAGTGAGGGCACCTGAGAGCTAAACACTTCTGAATCGTCACTCGTTTCAACTTAAATACATTGAAAAAAGAGTGAACCTGTTTCGGCGAGTTGTTTATAGCAGATATTTTATTTTTCTCGATTTCGTTCATCCTGAGAAGACTCGGGTAGAATTTCTCTCTTTGTGTTTTTTTTTTTTTATTTCTATCGCCAAATCTGCTTTAGGTTCCAAAATTTGAACGAGCTGATGTCGACTGAGCCTAGTAGGAGTTTTGTGTTCGTATGCTAGTTTCATATCTTTACTACTAAATGGCACCTAAAAACCCCTTGAGAGATTACTGAAATATACCTACACAAGTAAAAAGTGAACGAACACTAATTATTATATTATTATTAGGAAAATAGATAAATCTAAAACAATTTATATTACCCATGTGCTATCTTTAACCTCTGCGTACATGTGATATATGTGTGGTTCAATATTTTTTTTTTTTACTGATTTATATTGTGGGTAATTGTTTGTATCCGGGTATGAAGATGAATGCACATAAAATAACAAGTGAAATTTAGGTCACAATTTGGTGGTTATACCGCTGCTTTGTTGTCTCATTACGTGTAAGACAATATAAGTTCTACCACACTGTACAAAGTGAAGCTCAGATCAATGAGAGTATCTGATAGCAGTATTTTCATCAACTAATTTACAATCTGAAAACGTATTCCTATGATATGAATAATATGATAGAAATACGCCTTTCCTTGTTCTGTTTAGCTCCATGGGAAATTGTTTAGTTGATACAGAACACGTATAACCTAAACGCTCGCAAGCCTTAAAAGCACCATTGAATTTAGTCATCAATGCTCTATCAATACTCATCCCATTATATAATACTTCGGCAATAAGAGACGTTCAGCAGGCATGAGTTAAGTAACAAATCTTCTACTCGAAGTGCTCTAGCTTCTAAAGAAAAACTACTGTGCTAAAGAAAAACAAACGATTTAAATAGCCACTGTCTGACTTGGGGAAAACAGAAAAAAGAGGTGGCAGGGATGGGCGTATGGATTGTCGAAAACCCTATAGCGGAATAGGCGGGAGAGAGAAAGAGTGCCATACTACGACGCAAAAAAAGAAGCACCACTATCATCGTTGTCGACTGGCAGTAGCCTGCCGTGCTCATCCGGCGCGAAACTCAAAGTGTCTCTTCCATCTGTGGCATGGCTCTTCTAAATAAGACCGGATTTATTGCCGCTGCCGACAGAAACTTCAGTTATTGTCGCTCTGACGTGTGGTCGGTTGCGCAAGCAGGATTCTTCTTCTTCGTGTGTTTCAGTCCGCAGTCGCTCCTTCAGAGGCGGGAGCTTTTACCGAAACGCGACGGTGAGTTGCGCCGATGAAACAGAGTGTGAGTGGATGAATGAGAACGGATGCAGGACGACCAGCTGGGGAAATTCTTTGCTTCGAAACGAGACAATGGAGAAGCCAGCGGCTTCTCGACCAACACCTACCCACGCAACCACACTCATTGCATCGGCCTTCCCGGTTTTGTTCCCCTGCGCCCTTAGGCTATCAAAGTTTTGCTGCCTTGAAAGCGGCTAAAGGATTGGCGACGACAGCAGTTGAGAACCATCTGTTGTGGACTGAAAATGGGCGCTAAGTACGAATATAACTTTTCGTTGCTCGCTTTTATGCACCCTACTGCATTAGATCCTTTGTGTTCCTTGAAGAAACACGTTGAAAGTAAATCACCAATACTTTCCCAAAGGATTCTTGGTGGCGGGCGCAAACCCTTCTATGCATTAGCTATCATTTCTGAACCTTAACTGCTCTCCAGTTCAACAACAGACAGAAAGAGCAATTAGTTTTAAACGCTAAGATAGGCTTGAACTATAAAGTCGCCACAAGACGAATACTAAGCCACACGTCATTTCCCTTTGAGTTTTCGCGTATTGCGATTTGCCCGAAGATGAGTACAAAACAACCCACGGGCTTTGTGCTCCCTCTGTGCTTACGCCTGCCCTCGAACACTCCCTGCCAAGTAATTACGTGCATTTATATTTGCACAAGGCCCACTACCAAAATTAGTGCCAGCAAAGCGCTTTAGGGCAGGATGTCCTTAGCCGCAGGCCCTAGCCACCAGTAGTGGTCTTCACAACGCAATTACCTCGAGTGAGCTAGCCAATGAGCATCATGACTTGTATACCACGGGCGCGCGCGTAAATGTTGCAAACGGGACCGGATTACCGCAGACTACTCGCGCTAACACAAAGCATTCGTGTCTCATTAGCACACTAGGCATCATTCACAAAGCATTATCAACAAGTTAGACTCAGTAACAACGACACCAACATCGCGTCAACCCAACGATCAGCGCCTGAGGGAATACGGGAACTCGGTCCAGGCGTCATATCGTGTCTCTAAATCAGCCCAGTTCTTTCCGGAACGACAGATTCACGAATAGACTAAGCTTCAGTAAACGAGCGAACATTGCAATACCTTTGGTATATATGATTCTGTCTAGCTCAGGAGCATATATACCTAAACGGTAATAGGGCGACGTACGTTTTTTTGCCAGACAAACTTGCAACGCGACAGTCCAGAGATCAACAGTCTGCATCGATGAAGAGACCACAAAAGAGATCGATCATCGTTAATGTTTGTCTATATACTTTTAATAATCATAGAAACAATGCGATGCCAACGAGCGGCCCCTTTTCTCTTCCTCTTGCTGTTTTTCTCACCTAAACCTCTTTCTATTAGTTGGAAGATTAAAGTTAATACCAGTGCCAATGGATGCTTATTTGTGAAGCTGCAACTCTAGAGTATTGTTACATCATATAGATGTAGATATACGGTGAGGCGTCTCTATAGGTGATCAAGCCAACATCATTAGAATGGCATACGGATAATTATTTTAACGACCATATGTGATTCACAATGCAAGGCGTCCTGATCCGTGGAGCAAAAGCAGACCATGCCTGTATGTGCGTCTACCCACTCAACTGAGAAGTGTAGAATATGCAGGTAGCCGAAGCAGGCAAGCCGTCTGCGCGGCCTATGTGGGTGCAGGACAGTCCTTGAGAGGCCCATTAGATCCGTCCGATCAGCGAAGGTCAGAAACTCATCGAGTTAAAGGTAACGCTTCACATCCCCAAACCGATTTAGGTCTGTGCCATTATCGTTGGTTGGGCATACCGACATTGTCTCACAAGTATGAGCTAGGCCTGCGTATGGACGTACACTGCGTTACCAAATAGTTGGCTACTATCGTGCACCAGTGCTGTATATGACGCGTCAAGGCGATCACAGGGCTAGGTTAATTTGACCAGTACTAGTAGTTTAGCAGTCGCGATTGGAAAGGCCAGTCCACAGATTCACTATTCCGTGTCCAACGTAGTAGTAGGTCGTCTAAAAATAGTTGTAATAAAGTAACGGACATTTATCGTTTTAGTGATGAACTCACAAGGGGAGACGTAACGTATGATCAAAGTGTAAAGCAATTTAAACGCTTGAGGATGCAGTGTGGACATAGTGCTTTATGAATGGTATTGTCCGTGTACGAATCAACTGTCAAGTATCTTTCGTTTGTTCATAACTGGATTTAGATGACGTTCATTGAAAACTTAGTTAGACTGGGCAATTTGCGGCGTCTCAGGTCCACCGTTTTGCTGATTTAAGATCAGGCGCGCGTATTGCTCAGAATGGAAATGGACGCAGCATTAGAACTTCGCATCTGACGATTCGAACCCTCATCGTTCCGTCTGAACGAGCCGCTTGCTCTAAACTGGGCAGGTTTTCTGGCTCGCCGTAATCATTGCTAGTTTTCTGGGCAGTGTGTATGTTTCGCGACAATGGATTTACATGTGGGCTTCTACTGAACCGCCTCCACTTAGAATTTGACGTGACCCTACAAGGCATGCATCCGAAACTATTTGACCTAACAACGCGCAACTGGCCTTCACTCTGTTATGACCATTCATCGTGGCTGTTATTTTCTGCCCCTACCAATATTATCGCACCTAACAATAAAAGTTGTGTCCAGTTTTTCGCAGCGAAGTCGCTCCCCACAAAGCATTCTGAGATCGTTCGTACGAATGACTGTTATCGCAATCACTATTATCTTCGGAGTTATAAACCGTGCTTCCTGCGTGCTCGAGGCTTGGCGATAAAGCGTCCGAGGCATATTTGCAATCCTGTGCTATAAATGGGCTTGTCTCTTTTGCCCGTTCTGTTTCAGTGTATTTATGCAGCGACGTTTCGAAAGAGCGTGCGCTTTGCGATCGGGAGTGTTCGAACTGACTAAATCGATTCCGATGCTGACCTCGATGAAGCTATAAAGAGATTACCTCGACCAAACTTTCCGGGAAAGGTTGCCCTCATAACGTTTGTTATCGAAGCAATCATTGTTGCGGTCTAGTTTGAAACTACCCCATAGTGAAAGTATCACCTTCAGCATACTCCCTACTGCTTGTTTCTGTTTCAAAAACGTTATGAGGTTGCAGGAAGATAGTGCTCTTTCGAATAGAGATCAAAATAGCAATAATAGTGACACTTTTTCTAGCTCTAATGACGATGGGGTAGTGGTGTTATGTTTTTTCGGGAACTGCGGTCGCAATGCAGTATAGAAACTTGATGACGCTCTTTTGAAGAGGCCCGAAACTACAGAATATAGGACTCGTCAGCGAGTACGTCAACAATGGCCGACAAGTTAGACACTGTTAAAGCTCAACTTCAACCTTCTTCTTTGCAGGTCACATTTCTACCAGCAGCCCCATGACGATGGCCTCGGAGGTGGCACACATACAGGTACGTCAACCTTGGACGTAATATTATTTTGAGTTATGTCAGCGCTACTGGTGTTTAATCCATACTTATATATACAAAAACTCAGACACAAAGACTAGATATCACAGAGGTATGCATGTTCCTTCATAGTGTAGTAGCTGATACTATTCCTTGTGTGCCTACATCTTTCATTTTTTTTTCCTTAAACTTTTAGATACGGAGTGCTCATGAGCCTTGCAACGTTAAGATAAAGTTCTCTATTCGTGCTTTGAGTCGCGGTTCGAGTTGGCTGCTTTATCCTCTCTCATTGTTTTTGTTATTGTTAGTACGTTTACGTTTGCTATAGTGTTAGGATGCTCTGTGTCAATTGCATCGATAGCATTATCGAGAAAATACAAAATCTCCAGAAATATGGACACCTGTATATGGTAGCTAATATATTTGGGGGTAAGACCTACGTGGTTAATTTTTATGGTAACGCTTTGCATTTATCCATCGGTCTATCTATAGCCTGACAGGATGCTTTTTTTCGCGTACTAGCCTTGGGTCGCGTTTGGGCGCGCAAATGGTGAGAATATATTCGGTAGACCAGTGAGCGTATACCGTACTAGAGTATTAAACATATCTATGACGATGTTGAATTGAATTGATTTTCAATCCTACAACTGAGATTCCAAGTAATATGTCATACATTACGGAATTACTACACCACGATAGTTCTGATTGTCGACGTTTTATTTTCGTCCGTTCTGTAGTCCTTTACGCAAACTTATGAACATCCTTTCTTAAACCGCTTTTCTCATTTATATACGAGCGAAAATGAAAATAAGGCGTTTTTCTTTCTGCCGAAGGGTCATGCTATATACATGTTTTCTTGCTGAACAATACGTTTTCGGAATTTTCACCATTGAGCATAGCTGTACATCATTAAGGAACGCACGGATCGTCAATAATGTGTCAATTTTTTCAAATTAGGTCACTGTCCTTTTGAAAATTTCCACAACCATTTCGGGCTAATCAATAGTCTATAGATAGAGCGGTGCATGATGCCCTTATTTCACGTTCTTCGTTTTTGCGAATTATAGGTAGGGGAGCGAACGATTCACTCTAACCGTTTAGCATACATGTCGCATTTGGGCTTCGCAACTAACGAAATTTCAACATCTCAATCATATGGTGTCTATGACAACATATGATTGAGATGATATCAGTTAGCAGCGTTTTGATAGTGCTAAAAGTAAAATTATCGAGTTTTATCAATACGGATTATAAAGTGTATGATCATGTCCACATAGAGTTTGTTATTATTTTTGTTCCGTTATAGTTGGCTTGCCTGTGATTCAGATTGTTGGTAACTGTATAAAAAAACGCAAAGGCAAAGGTCCACAAACAGTTCAGCAGGGTTAGCTTGACGGTACCGGAAAAGACCGCACCGCAATCTAGTCAGGCCTTTTAATGAGTCCTACGTACAATCTAATTCAAAGTAAACAGCGGACCCCACAAACCGATCGCCCACCACGGATCAGTTTGACAAACTGTCGATATCACATTCGAGATTCCAAAAAAGCTAAATTTCAATAAATTTTAATCGAACTATTAGAGAAGATCAACGAGCTCCTGTCTCTCTAGATGATCTTCACGATCGTCTGCCGCCTGTTTCGCCGTATGTTCAACTGCATATTGATCGCACACCACACAGGTCAGCTACTATTAGGATTGATTGCGCAAGAATGGTCCACTGCTATCTGTCGAAAGACACTGGGCTTCGCCCAGGTCCCCAGAAATGATGACCGATGTATTTGTTTTCACGTGGAAGAATCCAGGGCCGACCGAAGGTCGACCCTTAAAGTAGTCAGTTCTGTGAATAATTTATTAGTCGCTACTTCTAAAGGGTTCGCAACAAGTTCTCACATGGCCAACCACGCGCTAGACTGAGAGGGGGCACATACTTCTACGCATAAGGAGGGTTCGATGATTGTCTTGAAAATGCCCTGATATGAGCATACCAAGCAAAGCAGATCACAGCTTAAAAGATTCGTAAGGCTATATATAAATCTGTGAGAGGATAAGTACTATGGAGCTATTGTTTACAGGCCCACTTTTATAGCAGAATATTTGCCAATTAAGCACACTGAAATTACGTATTTATTATATAAGTTTGGTGAGCATGATAAAAGGTGATAGGGCGTAATAATACTACTATTATAGATTATACCAATAATATGCTTTTCAACTCGAGATTCTGTGTAGTATTTCATAACTAAATAGATTTCGCGAAGCCCGCTTCAGATTTGGGTTGTTGAATCCTTTTGAGCCTTTTAGGTATAGGAACGAGACTTCCCTTCATTGCTTTTAGCGAACTCTCTTAGCCTCTACATTTAATTGAAATGAAAAAACTCAGATGGTAACATTTATTTAGATTAATTTAATTAGATAGGAAAATGCCTAACAGATTAACTAATAGCCCTGGGCAGTTTTACTAGAGACAGCATCTACAAAAATATATAAAGCCAAGAGCGAAAAACAAGCTATTTGATTATGTACTAAGTTCTTTAAATGATTTCTTTCATTCGAATACAGTTTTCTTAGAAGTCTAATACACATTGAAGCGGTACACACATGTGCGCGTGTGTGAGAGTCGGAATTATCGAGAGTATTCAAAGCCATCCTGCGGATATATGGTGCTATCGAACGTTATAGTTGTCCTGTTTTTCTCGCTTACACCCCAATTTATTGCTCGCATCCGATCTAAAGAAGGATCTAGTGCACTCACTTTGGCCCGAATTGTATAACGATATCCTTTGGCCCGTCTCTATCTGAATCGTGCCCATTGTGAAGCCCACAAGGTTAAATAGCCTTTACTCGACGCATCTGTTTCTAGTGCTCGTACCGTACACAGATTTTGTCTAAACCGGTAGCGCTTCTGTTTCGGATGTCTCAAAAGTAAAATACAACCATAACAGCAAAATGCACAAACCGTCGAGCCTTCTCGGGCAGTACAAACGCTCCACGGAGGCGTGAAGGAAAGCTAGCAATATAGGCCTTGTCTCCTACGTCTTCACACACAATTTACATGCCTAGCTTGCGTCAGACAGCGGTGTCGCGGCAGGCTAAATCAAAACTGGCTACTCCTTCCGGTGCCCGTACACAAAATTGGAAAAGCGTGGGTCTTAAAGCGCAGGTCCATAATTAGCAGAAGGTCAAGCTTTTAGTTAGACAAAACGCAAGTTTAGAATTGAAACAAAAACGGCTTTAACTATCGAAGTGATTTTCATGCAGTTGTTAATTCGTTTATTTGTAATATATAGAGTTGCACTTTACTCAAGGGTAACTCTACATTTTCTCTTTATACTTTCGTATATCTAAGCCTGGCTCAGTAATATAATGTTAGGTATATAATAATCGAACATCTGGCCTGCTTTTTCGATCCTTACTTATTGATGCTAAATACGCTTAGGTCACTTTTAATGTGGGCGTGCCTTCAGTTCAAGAGAAAACACGATTAATGGACAACTAGACGTACAATAAATTTTACCTATGGGCTGTATGTCGTATAATATACAGTATAATATACTGAGTTATACTGTTAATATGCGTAATGTATTACACTCCCCTCTTATTCTGTGTCTTTACCGATTATACCACATATGTGAGGTCTGTAGAACAACTAAATATATTTCTAGAAATGACATGAAATCGGGACTATCAAATCAACCCATAGGGCTGTTCCGTCAATTCTGGTCCCTAAATGATTTTTATCCACTCGTTTCGAACTGTTGTCATCTCCATATAGCTCAAGATACATAGAAGTAGTAGTGGTCGTAGTAATAAAAAGTAACTTAAAATGGAAGTTGGGTTTTTGTGTTGAAAGGCGAAGTGCTATCCCTGTTTGCGCAATCGGCCGTGACACGCAATGTGAGCAAGGTTTTTCCGGCGATGCTGCCACCCCAAAAATACGCCCAAAGTGTAAGCACGGGTGCGCATTTAACAAAGTATCCACGAGCAAGCGGATCACTGACTCTATATGAATGACAGTCTTTCGACACATCTGTCTGTAAATATTCATACGAGCATCCGTTCCCTGTCTGTTCGTCAAATAGCGTGCACCAAGTTGACACTTTTGTGCAGACTTATTATACCCGCTTCACTCAAACTCAGCTGCTTCAAGCGACAGGTTCTTACTAGTCTAGATCGTGTAGTCGTAAACGCCGGCAAAAAAAACGTGGGCAATGAGGTTGATTGATGAAAAAAAAAGTAGTTTATTTAAAAAACATCTTATTTCTATAACCGAAGCTAGGTTTAGAATTGAAACAAATAGACTGCCAACAGAGTAATTCGTATTTGAGTCTCTAGTAATTGGTGTGGGTATTATTAGGTATTTTTACGCCGCAAAAATGATCTCATCTTGATACATCATTGGTCTGTTTTTCATACCATGCGCCTTTCAAGTCATCGCCAAGATTAGGTCAATGTATCGATGTACAACTAATCTTTAGCAGATCGACTCGCGATAACGATTCAGCGGTAAGAGTGCTGCTGCTGCCTGATGTTGACAAGGCTGCCGTAGCCTTTTTAGCGTGTCGAGCCGTTGCTGACATCATAACAACGTCTTCATTGTCAAACCTCCTTTTCCGTACCTTCTGCATTTTTTCCGCTGATCCGAACTATACGTTGGCCAGCAGATGGTAAGCGCATGAATCGGTGTGAGATGCATAGAGTAGTAATGAATTCTGCCTCGTATCAGTTCGGTGCCATGAAATACATTTTCAGATAACTGAGACACCCCCGTCTGCTGTCGCTATCCAAAATTGCATTTCAGATGGGTCGAAGAGATATGATACATGTATATCGAATTTGTTCATTGATACCCTATGCATGCGACCGGTTCTCTGGTGTTCGACTGTGGCTCTTATCATTCTGATGGAAATGAAACCATAGCCAAGTACATCTCAACACCGAGATAAGATAGAGACAGAGATCAATTTCTGCATAATTGTATTAACATACTAACTTAATGCATA